TTTCAACTTTTTGACTTTTTCACATGCCATTGTCTGCAGCAGAAAGTTGAATTAATCGACCCGGTCGCCCCCTGAACTTTAACCCCGGCTAAAAACCCCTCGAACTGCAGTCAGACGCATTCTTGCCACATAGTTTGGCTGCCTCGACGACTGTTCCATCTTGATTGATTACATATTTCACAAGTTATTGCACAGGGCGGCAAACGGAACCGGAAGTGTGGGAATGAACTGGATGGCAAAAGGGGTGAGAAACACACGTATTTATTAGATTTATGGCCTGGCTTTCATGTCTGTTCTGTTCTGTTCTGTTCAGTTCAGTTCAGTTTGGCTGGGTTATAATGGATTCTGCCAAGTGTATTCACACAACTTTTAATGTATTGGAAATTTCTCTGTCTCCCCATTTCTCCGTTTCCCCATTTCTCCATCTCTGTCTGAAAAGCGCCAACATCGCATCCGTCGCACACCCGAAGGTACTAAAAAAGTAAAACTCATGTCGAAAGCGGTAAGCTGTGGCAATTGACTGAAACTGCCGGTTTAAATTAGAAAAGTTTGCACAATGTAAGTGTACAACTCCCCCCTACTCACTCACTCACTCACACACACATACACTCTCATACACAACCAGCACACACAGATACAGACCCACACATGAGCGGCACATTCGAGCGTGTTAATTTAATGGAAAAAACGATGCCAGGACACAGCGTTTTCCATTGATGGGCCCTCGAATGAAAGAGATGTCTGCGCCTGGTCAGGAATTTGTCACACAACGAGATCCCCGAGGATGGGTCAGAAAGTATTATTCGTTGGGAAATCTATGGGCCGAACAACTGTTTACGTCTAATTTACCTAGGAGAATATGTGGGGCAGGATAATTTAGCAGCTGCCGAAATAAAAGTACAGAAAATGTCATCAATTACTTGCAGAATGCTTTCATTCAGAACTTTATTCTTGAATTAAAAGTATTTATTTGAAGATAATTTTTCAATTCATATTATTTTGAGTTATTTGTTCTAAATCTAAAATTGTGTAACTCTATGCAAATTATAAGTTATACCAACGAATTGCTGAATAGTTAAAATCTTCAAGTTAAATGCAGGCATATCATTTAATTATAAGGTTTTAATTGTCTACTGTCAGTAGAACATATCCCTTTTAACTTGTTGCCGTAACTTATTTCTCACACAAATAATTGATTCAATTTTTAAAATTCATGTTTAGCAACTGTAACATCCAGCTTAAATTGGAAGACAACATACTGAAAGGCTATTACTTTTAAAATAAGATATTACATTATTTTACCCAAAAGAGAACATTTTTCCAAAGAAGTTAATTGTCATAACTGGATAAATTTCTGTAATGTGAAAGGGATTTTCTCTGTATATGTTTGACTACTATTTGGTCCATAACTATGTGATTCAAGATGATAAAATAACTTAATCTAAGCCACGCCAACCCCGAAATCCGATCTATGAATATAATCCACTTATACGACCTGTTCGTGTACGCACCTCAACTCAACATTAAAGGATTTACCCAACTCAACGATTCCCGGCTATTTTTTGCACACACGCACTCCAAGAGGAATAAGGCAAGAGATTCATGTGGGGTCCCTCCACTTTTCTTTTGTTCCGAACAAACAGCCATAAATCCTAGCCAAGTTCAAACTATATCTGCTGCCCCGTACCGTTCTGAAAATTCATTTTTTTATGGCGCACTTATATGGGACAGGGCAGCGTAGCCCGAAAATCCATTTCACTTATTCCCATGCACTTTTATGGCCCTAGTCCGCCAGCAATTTTGCACATTAAGAGCGAACTTTTTTACATGACATATGTATGCCACTCCCCCGCCGCCCCCCCTCATCCTATTCTTCGCAACCGCCCCAAAAATATAACTAACACAAATATACATTTCATATTCATAGGGGGGAGCGCTTAAAAAGCGAAGAAATTAACTCCAGCTAAAGTTGGGGGAAGAGTTTGCGACATGTGTAAAAAAGCCGAAGGGAAAGTGGCGGGGGTGAAAGTAGGGATGCGGAGTAAGTAGAGGCCTACTTAGCGACCCCCATTCCCCCCCCTGCGGAGAATGTCCCCTTTTCTCCGGCTGCCACACTATTTTCTGCTTAGTCGGCTCATCTGCATTTTATGGTCCAAAAATATCATCATCATTTTTTCGCATTTCATTATGGCACTGTATGCGTGTGTGCCACTATACTGAAAGAATATTTCTGTTCGATTATACTTAATTTTAAGGTTAAACCAAAAAAAAATTCTATGTTTTGTTTGCATAAGAAAACTCCCTTTATTAGTATAAAATTAAATTGCATTTTTAAATGCAATTTTGGAACACAATTTTTTGAATTAAATCTTTTTTCTTATTTGGGGTTACAAATTTACAATTAAAAATCTTTTTTCCCTAAAAGTAGAAGTCATTTTTAAAAAATAAATTGTGCTTGGTCTTTGGTTTTAATAAGGATATCTGAAAAAACACTCTTTATTTTTCAAAAATTATTTGTTGTTGATTCGATAAAGTTTCTTTAATTAAAATTCATCCAGACATTTCTTTGAGTGTCGTTTCCTGCGTGTGTTTGTGTCTCCCAGCGAAAACTTAGCAGCGTCATTTAGTATGCTTCATTTCATTATGTTTCTTCCCGTTCCCCACCGGAAGTCCCCATTCAGCTTCAGAAAAACCCCCGAACTGCCTACTTCTACGCTCCTTTTTTAAAACTCTTAACTTTCGCTGCAACCGCAAGCATTTTGGGCCGCATTTTGTGGGCAATCCTTCCTTCTCAGCCTGGTCCTCGTTTTTTGGTCCTGGCAAACGGTGCGAGAAATTGTCCTCCCTATCATTCTGCCTTCCATTTTCCCTTTCCCTTTTTTTCGGGGGGTTCTTTCCCATTTTTTTGTTGCTTTTGATGTCGCCTGCAAATTTTTTTTCTACAGATATATTTTTTTTGTCGTACTGCGTAGGAAAACTCCTTTGGGTGTCCCTGCCATTTGCCTCGCACTAAGCCTCCTGCCGTCTCTTTCTATACCCCATTTGCCGTCCCGCTCTGTCAGTCATTTTTTCCTCGTAATTTTCATAAGCAGCCGTTAGACGTTGGATTTATGTTTTTAAACGCCTTTTAATATCCGAGAGGATATTCGCGCGTAGCTGCAGATCCCCAGCAAAACACAAAGCCACTCGCAAATGCCGCATAGCCAACGTCCTAGCCACGCCCGCCCTCCTGCCGCACCACCCCCTTTAGCCTCTTTCCGTCTTAAAACCTTAAACCACCATCCCCCTAACATCCTTTTTGGCTTTATCCTTGTGGCTGTCTACTTCTTGGTAACGTCGCGCAAATCCAGTGAGAATGCGTTTAAAAAAATATTATAATAATAACATTACGTAAATAATTGTTGGCTGCTGCTTGATGGGTGGAGGAGGAGAGGGGGGTGGTGGTGCTTGGTGGGTGGAGGGTTGATAATTTCTTGGGAAAAGGGGGTTGAGGGGTTCTGTGTTCGGGAGGCACGCGCCTCTGAAAACGGAAATCAGCTGCGTGTTGATAAGCACGCATATAGCTCCAAGGAGAGTTGCGGGCAACTGAAGGATCGGGGGAAGGGGCGGCAGGAAACAGGAGGCGCTGCCATCGACTTCGTTTCCTTGTCTTATATGTGTGTGTGTGTGTGTGTGAGCTAGTGTGTGTGTGCGCCATTTACGTGCGTATATTTTTGGTGTGCTCTGCGGTTTGTCGTTCAGCGGAATCGGGAAAAAGTTACCCAGTCAAATAAGTCGAATAGAAATATACTCCTGAAAAGGCATTTTTGAAAAGATTGTTCAAAATATAACTAATTATGTTTCTGTATTAAGTCACCAGGCGCAGGAAATAAATTGGACCCCAAAAATAAAAAAATATTAACCCAAGATAACAATGTTCAATATTGGACTTTCCAATACTCTGTAATTTTTCAACTAATCATTGAAGTTGCACACCTTGGAGCGAAAACTGTGAAGTCAACAGTTGTTTTAATAAGGCATTTAATATTAATTACTCAACTAACATTCTACTTATTCCTTCCTATCAACCCCTTACTATATTCGAATAGATATCTTCCTGGGCAAAGGGTATCCCAACCCATAAAGAGGACAGAAAAAACCAAAAACAGAGGCACATTTGTAACGCGCTGTCTAACCGGTAGAAAATGTGCGTGTGGCAAGTGGAGAAAGAGAGGGGGAATCGGCGTAGGAAAGAGAGGGGTGGATGCGATGGCTGCAGACAGCAGCAGTTCGCAGCAGTTCCCCCTTACACTTTCGCATTTTTGCCGAAATTTTGTTGTCATCATCACTTTAAGAGAAATGGTGTTAAGGTGGTATTGTGGGTGGCTCAAGTGGGTGGCAGTGGGTGGTGGGTGGTGGTCGGAGGAAGCCACAGCAACCGATGCCTGTCAGACACAAAGTTATCTTCGCCCCGTCTTGGCAGCCCTCTTGTTGTTGTTGTCATCTTCCGTTTTTAATTTCAGCTGCCATTTACTGCTACTTATGACACATCCTTTTGCCAGCCCAACTCGAACCACACACTCCGAAAACCACGAAAGCAGGCGACACTTTTTGTGACTGTTTCTTTTTTTTTTTGTTTGGCTTGCAGATTTTTTGACATTTTTTTGGATCTCTTCTTAGGGAGTCTTATGTGTTTACACAGAGTTTTGTTGGACAATAAAAAAGACATGGCCAAGATACTAGACCATTGCATTATCTTTTGGAGTTGAGCATAAAGTGGTCACACCAAAGAAATTGATATTTTAATATTCATTTTCTTAGAATAGTTAGTACCGACCGCACCTAGAAATTAAAAAACCAAAATCACACAGCAATAGTATATTAGTTCTATAAGAATAGTGTATTTAAAACGTGGGGAATCAAAGCTAGTCTTTCCTTTTTAAAAATAATATTTTTTGTTGCCTTACTTTCTTATTTTATATATGTAAAAATAATTTTTTTTTTTTTTCAACGGTACTTACCTTGGGATGTGCACGGCGCGGAAAAGCTACTTTCGGATCGACCTGCGGGCGAAAGGGAGAAAAACAGAGAGCGTGAGTCGATGGAAGATCCGGGGGAAATCGTATGCTTAATGACATTTAAATGAAAAGAACATTTCGCACAACTCTTCATATTAATAGCCGAGCATAAATCTTGCATAAGCCTGCACTGCACATTAAATGAAATTGCCCCAAGGGGTGTGGGCTTTGGGTGGGTCGGTGGGTGGTTAGTGGGAGCTATGGGTGGTGTCTACTAGTGGCTGACTTCAAGCTGAGCACGCACGAATTAACGCGTAACAAATTGCTCGGCCAGCGGGCGTAGGGAGAAAAAAATGAGCAGCTTCTACCCAATAAGCAGCGTCATTAAAAATAATTAAAAATCATAAAAATTCAATTTTAAGCATTTTTGCCTGGTCTATCTTCTCAGCTTTTCCTGATTTTCCGGCTTCGTCGTTCGAGCTGCGGCTTTCATATTAGTGCAAGGAAGGACACAGCTCGACTTGACAGCTGAAATAAAAAAATCAGGGAGCGAGGGTGGCACTAAATCTTGGCAGCTGAAGTGCTGCTGTTGCATTTATCCGGGTATCTTAAGCCAATGAAGGAGCAAGGAAGCAACGCAATATCCTCTGACGATAATAATTCGCACATATATACGGAAAATCTGTCACAGGATAGGCAGGACATGCGGCTGGCTGGCTGGTTGTTGTTGTTGTTGTTATTTTGGTTGCTGCCGCTGTGTGCCGTTTGCCGTGTTGATTTCCTGTGTGCAGGACGAAAAACAAGAGAAGCCGCACGGCGGGAAATTGATTTTTAGATTAAAATTAAAACTAATCAGCGCTGAGTGCCGAACGGTTTTGGAGGACGTCGATGCTTTTGCCTTTTTGAAATACATCAGGCTGAAAAACCGTAACGAAATGAAATGAATTCGTTTCGTTTCGTTTTGCGTCGCTGTGCAGCCAAACGGAAACTCGAAAATCCCTGACCAGCCGAAAGTCAGGAAGACGTGTATATAGTGTATATAGATATATATATATATATGTATAGATATAGACATTACACGTACTCGCATTTAAATGCAGTTGCGGAACAAACAAAAACGTTGGCGGCGGCGGCTCAAAAAAATTTCCACATAAATGCTGGCTGCGCATTTTATTTACAGTTGGCGAGCATAAAAGGATGATCGGATGGAAATCGGACCGAAGGACGGACCAAAACAGTCCAGCTTCACTCAATTAGGCTAATGCCAATGCCGCGTATGCGTAATGCGTGCGGTATATCATTACACGGTTTCCACTGTACTTGGCGCCAGCTAATCAAATGCGATTTCCACCTATACAAAATGCGGATGGATGGGGCTTACGGAAATGTATTTATGCAGAGGAATGAACAGCGTTTGCCGAGGCTGATTAATTAAATGGATAAAATAGAGATACGACATCTTGGCGAAAAATGAATAATAACGGTGCTGTAAAGCATTTTATAGATAAAATTGATTTAACTTTACTTCATTTTAAAAAAATTCACAAAATGTGGTAGGACATGTTCAAATCTACCTTTAATGTAATGTTTATTAGGCAAAAAATCTATACTTAAATATTCGTTTAGTTTTTTAGTTTTTTAGCATAGCATAATAAAATAAAATTTAAAATTATAATAGTTTTTCAATTATAATATTTTATTTATTTCAATATATTTATAATAATAATAGCTCTATTTAACTGACATTTAATTGATTGATACCTTAAAATTGCTTAAAAAATGGTTAATTTACAACCAATAAAAAAAAAACAATTAGTAAAAACTTTGCTTAAAGCAAAAAAAATCAAAATCAGCTACTTTGTAAAACATGCTAACAGGCCAAATTTCAACAAGAGCGCACCTAAAAAAATAACCATTGCAGCTCATTTGATGTCCATCGCGCCTGTCATATCAGCTAATTAAAAATTGTTTGGCGTTTTGGGCCTTGTTTTTTTTTGGAAACTTTTGTATGCTTTTTTTTTACCTATACTGTTATGCTTTGACTTTCTAATTGCTGTCAATAAAGGGAAGGGGAAATATTGGGGGTATGATGCTTTTGAGCAAATATTTAGCATAGTTAAAGTGGAGTTTTCTGTTTGGGAAATAAGTAAAAAGAAAAAATGGGCGAAAAAGCGAAGAGTTCGTGTGCAACATTTACCTTTTTGCCATCCAGCTCGTGTGTGCCTTGGGTGAGTACCTTATCTACGCTATTTGGATCGCTGAATGTGACAAAGCCGAAGCCTCTGCAAGTAGATTTGGAAGGAGATGTAAACAGGAGACGGTTAGCGAGAAGTTCTGCAAATATTTACCCAAGCCAGGAGCCAAGTAACTGAACCTGAACCAGAAACAGAAAGGGATTTTGGAATGGGAATGGGGCAAGAGAAACAGGATCCACGGCAAAAGTTGAACCTGCCATCGTCAGTTTAGCACGTGCGCCAATTAGGCGCTCAAATTACATCAAAATATTGCCGGAAAAGTGTGAGAGGGGCAAATGAGCAGTCTAAGGCCCCCCATCCACAAATGCCCCTTTTTCGAACTGTTCGAAGGCAGACGCTTACAAGCCATTACCCCGTTGTTGCCCCCATCTCTATCCATCTCTTTCTGTTTCTTTCGTTCGTGTTGTGATAAACTTATTCTTGTTAAATATTTAATTAAAATGCTTATTATCTCGCACTGCATTTTAATGAGTCTCCCATGGCAGGCGAGGCGGGGCAGACACACAGAGCCAAAGACAACAAACCAGCTCAGAGATTTTTGGGCTGTAGCTGTGGCTGTGGCCCCCCTTTAGCCACCCACCCCTCCCACTTGCCACGCCCCTGCCTGTGTGCACGTTTATGTTTATTTGAGTTTTGCCACTTGGCAGCAACGCTTAACGATGCTTCGCCTCCTCGCTGCGCAACTCACAACTTCTTTCAGCCCGGCAGCCCAGACACATGCTCGTATTTGTCTTGTTCTTTTAAGCCCACCACTGGTAAGGCCGACCCACTGCAAAACCGGCCCACCACCCATCGTAAGCCACCCACTCTGCACCACCGGCACAAACCCACCCACTCAATCCGAGCCCAACGAGAACCACAAGCACAGACAGTAATTAACGACGATTCTATTGCAATTGTGGCAATTGTTACGGTCCTGATTCCAGTCCGTGTGGCCCAGAAACGGGAGCACCAGAGGCCCAGTTAACATGTCCAGGTCCGATTGGTCAACCGGTCAACTGGAAGCTAAACAACCCATGATGCATGCATATACCTTCGGTCGGTTTCAGGTGTGTCATGGTCAAGATAGAAATGTTTAGTGCAGGAATGATTATTCAAAGTGATTGACTTAGCAGTATTTGTGTTCCAGGAAATTTTAGGAAATCTGTTTTATAATCGACTTTAGAAGTACCAGCTAAGGTACCCACAATCACTGACTCCTTAAAAAGTTAATTACTGCTCTGATATTAGGATAATTTAGAGACCCGAAAAATAAATAATAATTTAAAGTTAAAGTAATTATTATAAAATTTAAAAATGGTCTTAGAGCTTCTTAATAAGTTAAATAGTGCTCTGATATTAAGACAATTTCAAAACACGAAATATAACTTTAATGTTTAAGCAAAGAAATGTATAATATCTTAGAGCTGGCGGTTTAATAGAGGTTTTTATACCCTTGCAGAGGATATTATAATTTTGGTCAGAAGTTCGTAGCGTGATCAAGTTACTTTGATCAGGTTAAAAGCGGGTGCCGATCGGACGGGTATATCTTATAGCTTCCTTAGGAAAAATGGTTAAAGGCTGCGAAAATAACCTGTTTTTTCTATTTTTATATGAAATTTTTGCAGTATAAAAGCAATTGACATGAAACTGTGCAAATCTAGTTTATTTATGTATACCCTATTCCATTCGCTACTTTTTCAATTTTAGAAATTTCGGCAAAGTCCTCGTTATAGTTGATTTTTATAGTTGATTTTTATTTAGTTTCATGACATTAAACCACACTTTCGAGGTTTACAAATTAATGCAACATTCATAACAGAAACTAGGTTTGAAATTAGCCTGACCTGCTTATAATAAGTAACATTTTAATGGACAGTGATATCATTTTCTAATAACCTCTGACCTTGCAATTTACCATGGAGACTAAATAAAATGTGAATGTTCCGACAATAATTATCTAAATAACAGCTATTCTCTGTCATTAATGGCTGAATAAGTGCTTGCTGCTTAGCTGCTTGAAAATAAATGCCAGAAATAATTCGCAAGTGAAATATCTCAGAGAGAAGTTTGCTATTTGCTAACTATGGTAAGGTAAATAAAAATTTAATTTAATCTTAATTATATACAAAGCACTTGTGAAAATGCATTTTCCTATTTAAGCCACAAATGTTAATTTATCGCCCCTTTGAATATTTTACCCTGAGATCAAACAACATCAAGCCAGTTAACTCGAATCGAATAATGCATGCGTGTCCTAGAAATTCTCGGTAATTTCCATTCACTCTCATACCATTAACCCTATTCGTAGTTAATTCAGCTCAACCCTTTTCTGCTCCACTTTTGACATACAGTTTTATTGTTTGCGTTTTTCCATACAATTTACTTGTCAGTTAAATCATTTGTAATTGAAAGTTAAACAGATAATGCTGACATGTAATTGTTTCATTGAAATTTTATTGCTTACTGAAGGGCAATTATTTATAAACAAGGATTAAATTTGAGGCTGTATTAAATTTATTAGATGAAATCAAAAATTTTCCTGTGGGAATTACCCAACAATTTATAATCCTTATAAAATGTTTGCTACTTTCCATTTGACATTCTTCTGGCTATATTGTATCGGTGTTTTGCCATCCAAATTGCTATTCAACAACGATGGCAACAAACAAATGCTTGTTGCAAATTTATAAAAACAATTTGCATATGGAAAAGGATTGCCCAGGCCTCTGTGTCTTTGATTTTCCTCGCTTTTCCTGCCCATCTACGTGCTATGGATAAGTCATTATAAATGTTGTTGTCCTGGTATTGGCTTTCTGGATTCTCGTACAGCTGGCACGGTCTGGTACATATTAAATAAACATTTTATCGTATTTATAGACGAACAATTTGTGCAATGTGCAATTTGCGAAAAAGAGGCCTGCACCTATTAATATTGATTTAAATGGGTGATTTTGGGGGTGGCAGTCGAGAGCTTGGAGTGGTTCAGTAGGCGTAACTTCAATCCAATGTTCAAGTGGGTCACACAAAATTGCCAAGTGAAAGGGAGGCGGGTGCCACAAAGTTGAGGACAGAGATTGTTGCAATTTCTGGGGGTTGGATGACGGGGCGCTGGCGCTGGGGGGGAACTCAAAGTGAAAAGCCACAAATTTAAAAGGCAAAACTCAAAAATAATGTGTCTCCTGTGTGCAATTTACTCACAAATTCAGATTCAATTTATGCAACTCGAGGCAGACCGGCATCCACACGAAAGACAGAGCCAGAAATAGAGATAGCCGCAGAGCGAGTGGTGTGGAGCGCTCAGGATAACAACAGAATGTGTGCAGCCAACAACAATGGAGGAACGCACACACAAATACACTTTGAAAAACAATGGGTCTGAAACCTAAATTTATCTACTGAACAGTTTTTGTTTCATGTTAAATAAATATAAAAATAATAAGGAAAACAAAATATTTGTTATTACAAAGATAAATATTTAATATTAAAATATGTTTAGAACCTATTAAATAATATTTTATCCTGATCGTTAAAAAATATCACTATTATTTTGAGAGTACTATTCTTTGCTTTGGTATTCTTTAAAAGACTGAATAACCATACGACCGAAAAAAATGTTCCAATTTATGTAAAATTGTAAAATAATGACCTAAAAAAAAGCCTAGTTCATAAGTTTGGGAATATACACTTCTTCTTTTTTAAGAAAAATGGCCTGAAATATATGGGATCAATTTTTGGTTCAATATTTCAAAATGTTAGTTTTTAATGTTTAGACAAACAAAAATGTCATGTTAGTAAAACTAAGTTAAGTTGCTAATTAATGACTTTATTAGAGTAGATACCAAAAAAATGTAGTTGACTTTTCTTTTAGGCAACATTTTAGAAGGAAATTGTTGAAGAAGCTGAAAACTGTGTTATTTTAAATTCCTGAACAAAAAAAACTTTTAATCGTACTGCAATCTATCGATAAATTTCCAGAAAGAAACATTCCCACATTTAGATTAACTAACATATTTGTTTGCTGTGTGTGAGCTTAGACAAAGAAAGAGAAACTAGGCAACAACAAGGGCAACAGCAGAGACATGCAGCCTCCGACAAGAAAAGGGGTTTTTTTGGTGGGGGTGGAGTGCAGAGTGGGCGGCAGTGGGCGGTTGGAGGGGTGGCGTATTCTACGCCCCCGCTTTCCCCCTCTTAGAAAACATGCAACTTGGGTTGCTTGTTGAATTTTATAAAGCCGTTTCAGAATGCTAATGAGCGCACGCACACAAGCTGCCAGCAGCCAAGGATGATGCTGTGTGCTGCCCCGCAACAAAAAAGGGTGGGGCAGGTGCGACAGGTGAGCTCAAGGAAAAGGGGGCGTGGCAATCATGTAACACATACAAACACCGCAGACACGTACCAAACAGGGCCAAAAGGAGCGGGCCATCTGAGAGAGAAATAAAAGTGTTATTTGAATTGGGATGGCAGAGCTTGAGAAACTTTCCCGAAGATCCTTGTGGCTGCTCCTGCTGCTTCTGATGCTCCTGAGCTTACGCACAATTTAGCAAAACAACTTGCATGTATTTAGCCCGTAGATACTCATACCTCGGTAAGTAGTTTATCCCAAAAGGGCAGCAGGAAAATCAGGAAAATGAGGGAACTGGCGATGGAAATGGAGATAGCCTGGCCAACTGAGAGTGTCTGCAGTTAAGTTGGCGGTTGGCTTGTGGCTGGAATCTTGGATTACCGTAAATAATCTAACTAAATGAGTTACCAAAACGGTCAAAGTTCACATCAAGGTGTTGCCTCGTGCGTGTGTGTGTGTGTGTGTGTGTCGGTGTGTTCGTAATGGGAGCAGATAACAATATTAGCAGTCCCAGCATATGTCCAGTGATCAGGTGCACGATGACGATGAGGTTATTCCGCCCCAAGGCAATTGCCAAAACTGTAACCCAAAGCTCATTTTATAGGCAAATGTCACGGGGAAGGGCTGGCTTTCGGTGCGGACAGAGTAAATAGAATCCAGGATATTCAGGGCAAAGATTACTTGAAATTGAGTAAGGTTCAAA